TGCATCTTGACAAGCTTTACAAAAGTTTTTTAAGTTAGAAAGGTGATTAACTTAGTATAAAAAAAGTTTTAGATATATACATGCCACATTTGGAGACTCCTAATTTTTATAAATAATTTGAGTTACATTTTACTATGATCACTTTCTGGTTGACTGATAAATCACTAATTAAGTGATTTTGCTTTTTATTTATATGAATTTAAAGTTAATATTTTATTTATAAAATTTAATTTTACTAATTAATTGTTTATTAAAACTTATTCTATATTTTTATATTAAGATTATAGAGATAAAAATTAAATTATAAAAAGTTTGTCAATGAGTAAGACAAAATTTACACTTTAAAAATCTTTTTTAAAAATTTAGATGATTTTTAGTATAGACAACTTTATCTTTTTTTTTATAACTTAAAAATAAATATTACTATTTTATAATCCTTATTTTCAAATTTTTTTTTTTTTTTTTGAAGATTGATGGTCATGTCACATGCTCTGCTTTATTAATATCATTTTACTAATTCAAGAATTAGTGAGTTATACTATACCTTATGACAAAAACTAGAACCTGACTCATCTGGTTACTTTGCATAACTAAATACTAATTTAGCGACCTGCTAATAATGAGTTCAAGCTTTCTGGTTTGGGTCAATCTACTGTAGAAAGGCCTGCCCGGATCACTGCCCTGGTTCATTAGCCCGTCATAATCGCCTTCTTTTCTAAACTTCTTCTTCTAGCCTTCTAGATAGAAAAACTCTATCGCAGGAACAACGAGAGATTTATGAAATTAAAGGAAAAACTAAAAAAAGAGAGAAATCTAAACTAAACGAAAAAAAAACAATACACCAAAAAGAAAAATAGAGAAAAGAAGAAAAAGACCACAAAGAAAACAGTCATAACAACACTATTTTTGTCTATGCTAGGCTATATAAATTATATAGATTGTATAAAAAAGAGAATTCTACTTTAACACTATATGTAATAAGAAGAGAGAAAAGAAAAAAAAAAAAAGCCTAACATTTAGAAATTTTTACATGTGATCCTCTGATCCCTTATAGTCTGTCATTGCTTAGTTGAGAAGCAGTACTCGAGTCAGCTCGTGGCAAGTCCCATTTTGGTAGATGCGTTCTAATTTGAAAGGAGTAAACACTGCCAATCTTTTGGAGAGGGTATGCTGGTTTTCTCACTTTTTGGCCAAAATTTCTAAAAAAATTCCAAAATAGTGAAAATATGGTAGAAGGACTTTGGTTGCAGGTACTTTCAAAACTTCTAAAAAGTGTGTTAAAATTCAAAACTTCTGTTGTTTCCCCTGTGTTTTTTTTAGAAATAACAGTTTTTGAGCTTCATCAACGAAGTAGAAGCCTACTCTAGACTTTCTTCTTTACCAAAATTTTTTATACAAGGGCACCGCCTGCTAGTTATCTTGTATAATAATACTCCTAGCTTGCATGCTGAACGTCTATTTTAGAGGAGTCTCTTAGAAAAGCAGTTGACCTCTAGACAAACCGCACTATAAAGCCACGTCTCTTCAATAAAAGTTTTGTTTTTTGTTAGTTGAAATTTTGGTACAAGTGATCATCAGAGTAAGAATAATTCCTTATTTTTAAATATTATTATATAAAATTTTTTTTAAATATATTAAATTTTGACAAAATTAGATTAAACACTAAAAATTTGAAATTTTAGTAGCCAAATTTATCTGCTAAAATTGATGGTTTAAAAGATAAAAGTACTAGAGTTTCACAATATATTAGGTATGAACTAGTTAGATTAGATTCAATACTGTAAATATAATTTGTACTGGGGGTTTTTGTGATCTTTTACATCTAAAATAAACTCTAGTTTCTGGACACTTAATAAAAAAAAAAAATTTTTATATATAGGTTTTTTATATAACTACTTATATAAATTATTTAATAAAGATACAAGCAAAATCTTACTTTAATATCAAAAAAAAGTAAACAATAAATGAAATCTTTATGATAGTGACAACTCTTTCTGACAATCACCTGTACCAAAATTTTCTGCTAAAGAAAAACTATAACAACTTGTTGGAGAGACGTGGTCTACATAGTAGTTTGTCTAGAGGTCAACTTTCTTGTGGAAGACTCCTCTAAAAAGACATTCGGCATGCAAGCCAGAAGTGTTTTTATGTAAGATAACTGGCAGGTGATGCCTTTGTATAAAAAATCTTAGTTGAGTGTGGCAAAAGCCAACTTCGTCGACGAAGCTATTAGACTGTTATTTCAAAAAAGAACACAGAGGAAACAACAAAATATTTTACTTTTTCAATACACTCATTTGAAAAATTTTGAAAGTACTTGCAACTTTTTTCCCTACTACATTTCCGCTTCCCTACTGGTTTTCCAAAATTTTTCTCAAAAAGTGGAGATTTTGGTTTACCCCCTCCAAAAGATCGACATTGTTTACTTTTCTAATTTGGACATACTCGGTAGAATGCAACCACGTGATGAATCTGTTTACAGTCACAGCGCTATTTCATGGAACATGGATCGGAACCTCAGAACCCGTTGGTCTAAAGAGATTTCTGAGGGTGGTGGATAAGTCAAAAAAACTTAAAGTTTAAGGCGAAGTCTTACATTAGATATATACAATCGTTGTATTTGTTATAAAATTTTTATCAGCCTAGCACGGGTTATAATAGTGTATTTGTAGTTTTCTTTTTTATATATATCATGCTACCTTGTCCCTTTTTGTGCTTCTTCTATCTTCTTTCCTTTATGATGGAATCATTTTTAGGACATACTTTTTCAAATATGTTTTTTGTCTCTTTTTTTTCTAAATTTTGCTTTTTTTTGGTAAATTCGGCATTTATTTTTTTCTTATAGAAAAGTAAAAGATAAACTATTCTGCCCGGATCTAGATAGGAGAAGTTTATAAGAAGGGATAGGTAGTCATGATGGGCTAGTAGATCCTGGCCAGTGATCTGTGGATCCAAAATCTGAGGTAGATTTAGGAGAAGCAAGGAGGCTGCTTCTGCTCTGGCAGATCACACATAGGTCCAATTAAAAACCGGGTAAATTATACTTTAGTATAAAACAGCCTAGCTGTAAATAGATAAGTCAAATGTAAAAATTTGTTTCATCTATGTCAAATAATAAAGTTGTGGTATGATCACTTAGAAAAAAAAAAATAATAAAAAATAAATGAAATCTTTAATTAAATTCAATTTTTATCAAAGCTAAGTAAAATTTTTTAAAAACATTTTTTGCTATTACTTAAAACAAATTTTGCTATTTTTAAAACCAATTTTTTAAAAGATTCTCCTTCTCTCTTATCTAAACTAGTAGTAACTTGTTCTAACTTTTACCTTGTATTAGTGGACAAAATAATTTATTTCTAGTTGTATTAGAAAATACAGAGATATTATATTGCACAATAGTGTAGTTATAAGAAATAATATTAGTTAATTCTATATTTATATCATTGTGATATAATATTACTTATATAATATTAATAAATAAATAAATAAAAACAATTTTCTAGAGTTCTTACCCACGGGTTGACTACCCAGGTGGGCCATAATTCAACTCGGGTCACTCGCCATACTCACCCAAGTAGAAACAGGTCTCTGCTATCAAAGAACTTTTTTAAAAAAACTCTCTATACCGATATTCTTTGGGTCTTAAATAATATTATTATAGAAAGTTTTTTTTAATTGCTTATTTTTTTATTAAAGTTTTATTGCAAGCAATTATTTTTTGATGTGACTAGATGTCCTGCACCATAGCATTTTAATTATTAATCCAATTAAAATCTTTTTTAATATGCAAATTTTCGTGAATATTATACAATAATATAATGAAATTGAAAAAAAAAATAAAATATAAATGTCAGAAAATATGATGCAAAAATCACAAAATGATTCGGAAACTAAGGCACTAATTAATATTCTATCATAAATGTCTGCTTTTTATCTAGGGAAGATAAGCGAATATGCAAATACGCAAATGTCTAATTAAAAACACGATTAATAACTTATTGTTTTATAAATTTTACTACGAGACTTTCGTAAAACTTAAACGAATAGTCGGTAACGTGAAAATAACATTATATATATGCCTGTTAAGTATTTATGTGAATTGATTAGGTACAAATTTTATACTAATTATGATACAACAAGTGGTTGAGAGTATAACTACTTACCTACGAACATATTGTGAATTAGGATTTCTAAACTAATTAGCAGTAGTATGCACTGATCGATTATCCTCATCATCAAAAACTGTCGTGCCCATGAAGATCTCTTCAACTACATCAGTGTGAGATTTGTTTCCAATCCTCCCAACCCTTGTAACAATAGAGTTGGTTACCATAGATGGTACGACTGGTGCAGCTTGAGTCGATTGATACTCGGATCGCTAAAAAAATACGTATATTTAAATAAACTCGCCCAAGAAATGTTAAAAGATCAAATATAATAAACATAGCAATACAAACGAGAGAAGTTAACGATCGCGAACGATCCATATAGTGTGATCCGAAATTTGGGCTTAATCCCCGAACTAGAGTTATTCAATTAATAATGAATTAGAGATAAATTGCTAAATTTATAAATTCAAAGCAATATTATTCATGGTTTATTGTTTATATACTTGATCTATCGTCATCTTGTTCCGCTTGTTCAGATATTATTCCTGCAAGGCCTCCAAATATTTGCGTTTTTTTGAGAACGGGCCTAAAAATATTGTAAATCCAAATATGAGTATGATTTTCAAATATCCTGTGTAAGTATAGATCAACAATCTGCAAACATACACTTTATATACCACATCTCCAAAGGTTTGTTTCATGTTAATTGTTAACTAGGAAATATTAAGGTCGTTATATATCGAAAAATGATTCAACAAGACACCTATATTTAAACATAACATACTTTGAGGGTCGAATTTATTTTACTATCTTGTAGTAAATACCGTCTAGTCACAGTATTCAATCCGACATACTCGGAAATGTTAAGCGATAACTTCCCAACATTATTGATTTCTTTGCCGCCATTCAATTCCTAATGTCAAACAAACATAAATAATTAGGGACATAAGGATCAGCATGTTCTACAAAATCAATTTCTCTTGCCTGTTTTACTGTAAGGCGCAGTTCGCATGGCATCAAAAATCCGTCTTTTCCAATAATAAGCTTTGTAGAATTCTGCAGTTTGTAATCCCATATAACTGAGTGGTCTTTTATTTCCACTCTGAAATAAGAATAAAACGCTTTTAGGATCCATAAACTAGGCAATTTTTTGAGTGATTTCTTAATTGCATTTCGTGCGCAAACCTTCGAGTTACATCTCGTCGCTTATTCCCATTTTTCAACCTCCATTTTACATAGTATAAACCAGATATTGCAGGAATGTTGGTCAATTCATGAATTATAAATTCCACATCAAATTCCACTTTGCGGTTTCGGGGTATAAAGAGTTGTGAAAGTGAAGACATTTTTTAAAAAGTTATTAGTTGCAAATGTTATGAAAAGTGTGTATTTATTTATGTACGTATGTAAATTATTTTGTTTACGATTGGTGAATGCATCAATCACGCCTATAGCACACTAATTAGCCAGATATAGTGTTGGACCATTGAGCACTTAAAAAACTATAAACATTGTCATTGAAATAGTCAAAAAACTTGCTTTTAGATTATCGCAAAATGGTAAATGCAGTTTCACGAAGATTACTTAAAGAACTCAAAGACTATCAAAAAGAACGTAATCAAGATCTTATTGAATTGTCACCGATACAAGAAGATAATATTTTAGTCTGGAAGGCAGTTTTGCGAGGAGAAGCTGATACTCCTTACGAAGGTACATGCTCTTGTTTAAATGACTCGCTATTATACAGACAACACTGATCTTTTTTTTTCAGGCGGACAATGGACCTTGCGCATAGAAATACCAAAAAATTATCCTATTCAACCGCCTAAAATAAAATTTTTGACCAAGATCTGTCATCCAAATATATCTTTTAAGGTGAGTTCAAAGTAAATTGTCGATTTTTCTTTTCTTTTTTTACTAAGTATTAAACAATTAGATTCTTTGCAGACAGGTGAAATCTGTTTGGACATTCTGAAAGCCGCATGGAGTCCAGCATGGACTCTACAATCTGCGTGTACGGCGATTAGGTTGCTGTTGTCAAATCCAGAACCCACTAGTCCATTGAATTGTGATGCTGGTAAGACGACACATTATATGGGAAAATTTAATAAATAATTTTATTTAGTTATTTATCCTTTATTATATTAGCAAATTTGCTTCGTTGCGGGGATTTTATGGGTTACGAATCTTTAGTCAGGATGTATACACAACTTTGCGCTATGTCTCCAACTGATAATGAAGGAAACGCTTAAATAAATGATAGAAGTGTTGTATATAAAGGTGTGTATAGAGATACTGTATTCATTATTTATTTGTAAATATTTAGCAAATTCCTTTAATTTTATTTTTTTAATGCGCTTGTAGTTCATGTAAACGTGATATATATATTATAATATACAAAAATAAGAATATGTAATAAATTTTTTTTTTTTTTTTTTGATCTTACTCTCTTAGTTTTTTCTCTAACTTTTCAAATTCAAGTTGTGCAATGGTCTCTTCCTCATCCAATACTTGTTCTACACAGGTTACTTCGGGAATGTAATGCATTAACATATTTTCAATTCCATTCCTAAGAGTCACCACCGATGAATCACAAGATCTACAAGCACCTTTTAACTTTAATTTCACGATTCCATTATCAAATCCTCGATATTCAATATCTCCACCATCATCTTGTATAGCAGGTCTAATCCTAGTATCCAATAATTCTTTAATCATTTGAACAACTTCGGGATCATCGTCCTTGATTTCTGTATCAGATGGTGGTTGAGCTTCAGTCACTATGGGTTGACCTGATGTAAAAAAGTCCATAATATTTGCATATATGTCAGGTTTCATTAATTGCCATGGTGTGTCTTGATCTTTACTTATTGTAATAAAATCTGGCCCAAAAAATACACCACGAACACCTTCTATTTGAAATAATTTTTTAGCCAAAGGCGAAGTTGAGGCAGAATTTCCAGAAAGAAATTCTGCCGTGCCACCATCTTTCATTACAGGAACTCCAGGGATGAATTTCAAAGAATCCTGGTTAGGTGTAGGTTCTGCTTGAATGAACATTGTACGAGCTAACATTGTACGAACTAAAATACGTATAATCGTTAGCAACGCAAAAAATACTTTTAATATTGCTAATTATTGCTTAAATTTACCGGGACATAAGGCGCTTGGCCTAACGTGCAATCTTCCAGAAAGCAGTGAGTCATGTGTACTTTGTAGTGCTAATGAGCACCCAGATATTGTTCGAGCTTGTGAAGAAAATGTTCTTTTCAATATATTTATTACCGAATATACTTGTCGTTGCATTTTTTTTCTTTTCCTTTGTAAAGATCGCTAAAACGTGAGCAAACTTACTAGTAAACCTTGAAATTAGACAATAAAATAAGCTCGGGGTTACAAATCGGACATTTCTAATAACTGGTTGACCCATAGGCTAACTCGAATGAACTTTATGATTGGTTACAGATGTTAACATGTGATAATCAAATTACGTTTCAATTAGGCTCACGCATTTAATCTGTTTTTATACACATTAGATAAGAATTCTTCACATCTTAGCGATAATTATTTTAAAAAAGTTTGCCTGAACAAAATTCGAGACAAGTTTCTTTAAAAATTTTTTTGTCCAAAATTAAAAAGGATGAGAAAAAAAAGAACTGGATAAATATCTGTGATTAAATTGACTTAAAATAAATAATTTTGGTCAACACCTTAAAAATTATCGAAAAAGTTTTTTTTCTAGGGGTGAATTTCGATCAGGGACACGCAATTTTATTTACAACTGTTTTCATAAATTCTGGACAATCTGGCAACCGAATATTTGCCGATTCGATAATTTTGACTCATTACTTATTTTCAATCCTATTCTGTTTTGGATTTTAAATAAATAGGAGTTATTCGGAAATAAAATTAGCAATTTTTTTTTTTTTTTGATAATGTATTATTATCCGACAAACTCATATGATCATGAAAAACTTTCTTTCTGTTATTTTTTTTCATGTGTTACGATGTAATTA